ATATATATATAGTCGCTGGGGACCTATAGGGGGCGTGCAATAGACGTGTTGAGTGTTTGATACGGGCTTAGAGTGTTGGGCGTTTCATATGTAAACACATGCGCGCACAATCACGCACGCACACGATCACGCACGCACGCCCACGCACGCAGAGAGTGGATTACTTAACAACAATCGCTCGCAGCAACCCACGCACAAACGATATCAAGGCTGGCGTTTTGTCCTCGCGTATACTATGGAATGCCGCGTGGGCGGCCGTGGGGGCGCACGCATTCTGTTCCGACGTCACGGCATTGTAACAAAGCCGGCGAGCGCGAGCCATACCTGGAACTCGATTATTCGACGATTTAGTCTACGTCATCGTCGGCACGCGAGATTCGAAGTAACAAGTCGCGGTTTACAATTATTCAACCCGCTCGCCCATTGTCACAGCGACTCGGCGAATCTTTGTCAGCATTGCTTTACCTACGCTACGTAGGCGAACGTACAGCCACGTACGCGGATACAGCGATTTACATTCTGGTTGAATGCCCTGCGACAGCAATGCTTGATCGTGGTAGACCCATGAACACATGCTCATGATATCACTGATGATATCAAGAGCATATAAAGAAAGTTTCTTCTTTATATGCTCTTGATGATATGTATGCATGTTCGTGCGGTGAGTCCAGGCGGGCTGCGGGGGGTGAAACGCGAAAACTGATACCACCGCTATCAAAAACTTCTAACTCAACGCTCAAAATCCACGCACGCTGCGCATATGGGCAGTGGATGATGTAATGTTCGCCTGCGCATGCGTATAACTCCCCCGCCTTCTCCCCTTTCCACCCATACGCTACCCGGCAGTAAATCCGCCGTTTAGGGGGATACTACATCGTTAGGTCCTCGAAGGTTCCCCGCAGTAACACAGAGAAACCGATTCCCTCTCTCCCCAGGGAAGACAATTTACGGGATGCCATCACATCGGCGTTACTCCTCGCTGCGCACGCGCACTGAGCCATGCAATTACGAGCGCCACATGCGTTAGTGCAACTATTTTATCGGCTGTTGCTGTGACGTCACTCCGCGCGCAAAACTTTGTGGGCTGCCGGTGCACAAGAACTTGTGCTGACGCGCACGGAAGGTTTTTAAGACACGTAATTACGTAAACCTATGCAAACAGGTGAACCGGTGACATTGTGACACTGGTACGCGGACGCACCGAACGATTACGCACGCACATAACTGCGCGGTTATCCACGCGCGTTGCACGCACGTAAATGTACGGTTATGCACGCGCGTAACTGTACGGTTATGCACGCGCGTAACTGTACGGTTATGCACGCGCGTAAGTGCGCGGTTATACGCGCGCGTAAGTGCGCGGTTATGCACGCGCGTAAGTGCGCGGTTATGCACGCGCGTAAATGCGCGGTTATGCACGCGCGTAAGTGCGCGGTTATGCACGCACGCGTATAACTATAACTGCCCGTGAACAGCGACGTGCTGATGTATGTAGTAGACACTCAGCTATGGCGAGTAAAAACACGCACGTGCTAATCTCACGGTGCTACGGCAGTGCACGTGCTTGCGGGCGCAAGCGCGCAGCAAGCCCATGCCGCCGAATCGACCACGCTGCCACCGCATGCACGGCAAACCTAAACCAATTAAAGAAAGAGTTAACGACAAAAAAAGATTAGCAGTCTTTGGTAGACCGACCAACCCCCCGAAGGCATCTATATCAGTTGCATCAAGGTTGACGTACAAGAGTCGGCCGCTCTCCCTCTCAAACACGCTTCCTCCTAGGTCTGACTCGTGTAATGTACACGTACATGTGCAGTGCCATTACAGGTCTGCATCTTAATTAAATACTAGACGAAGATTAGTTCAACTAATTACTAACACGGTTAGGTACTAACACTAGTTAAGCGGGAACTAAAGATACGTAACTAAAACCCAACATGGTGTGTGTTGCATTATGTAAGACCAAAGTGATACATGTGTGATCAAGAGCGTATAAAGAAGCCTTCTTTATACGCTCTTGGTGTGATACATGACTGTGCTCGATATGTGCACATGCGCAGGAGAAAGACGATAAGGGATTAGGGAATAATGATTAATAAATCATTATTAAAAAAATCGTTGTTATCTTACACGTGATATACGTCGTAACAAGTGATCCAGCCACACACACATGCGCGCACACCCACGCACACACACACATTCACGCGCGCGCACGCACGCACGCGCGCGCGCACACACACATACATATTTACGCGCGCGCACGCACGCACACACACACACACACACGCACGCACGCACGCACACACACATACATATTTACGCGCACGCACGCACGCAGGCACGTACTAACTGCGGGATGCAGAACCTATGAGGTGACTCAGCGGTTGTTTGTTTACCGACGGAGAGTTGCGTCGGCCTCATTTTTCACGCTGCGGGAAAACCTGTACAGACGCGACATGGCGCGCTGCCAAGTAGTTATTTACATAGCAACCTACGTACACAGCAGTCGAGATAGCAACGCGAGCAGCGTGGGCACCGCTCGCTCGCTCGCAATCGCTCTACTGCGAACCGAAGACTCGGCGTGCTTATATACCCCGGCTAAAAATAGCAACGCGCTGTGATTGGCCGGCGCGCCCGATATGACTCCCGGACGATATCAGAACAGCATTCATTGAGAGAGCGCTTTCCGAGTTGGTAGCAACTATCGATTTAAAGTTTACCATCGCGCGCGATACATGCGTAACGAAGGAAGCTAGACCTTCTTTTGAGGACAGTAATAACAGAAGAGGACAATGTCAGCCGCTGACGTGATGCTACACGATGAGCTTTTGAATCAGCTGAACTCGCCCGAGAGCTTGCAAGAGGTTCGTGCATTTATTTATACCCAGTTATGAATTGTGAAGTATATGAATTACGTCACATATGCTTGTGTTTATCATTATATACTTGTGCAAAAATGTGCGTTATATGATAATTACGGAATTACAGGAAATTGTTGGCAATAATAGGTGAATGAGAGTAGAGAAACATTAATAAGACTTTGGTAGTAAATAGTTTTCGTATTTATTTAGCATTATATTTTTTTATTGAGACGTTCCAAGTGCCTGTGGGCACGCGCATGCATACGCACGCACACACATATATAGTTAGTTGTATGTTGTACACATATATACAGTAGTGAGCGTAGAATACATCAGGACAACGTGAGAGTCTGTTCTTCACACGTCTGGACCGCGCGCGCACCGCCCCCACCACCCCGCGGGACGAACCCACGCTCACCACCCACACGCTCTCTCGCTTACAGATGTGGCACGACGTTGACGCATGCCACTACCAGAGGGAGCTGCCGCCGCCGCCGCCTTACCCTGGCACGGTGTCGAGCCCCGGCTACTCGACGGGAACGCCGAGTCCATACTCGCAGCACTGCCCGACGTCGCCCGGCTCGCACTTTGGCGACGAGAGCCCTTACTCGCTTCACTGCCCGACGCCGCCCACCGCCGACACCACCTCGGACGACACCATAGACGGGCTCCTCGACCTGGACTTCATTCTCAATCACATGATGGGGCAGGCCGAGCCGAGCTTCTACGCTGACGACGTGTCAGTCAAGCGGGAGGCGGGCGCCGCCTGCTGCAGCACGACCGCACCGGGACAGTCGCCCGTGCGGCCGACCGACCCGCCTGGGTACCTCCCAGACTTCCAGTCCGCATTCGTCGACATCCCGGACATCAAGCTCGAGGACGGCTTCGCGTGCGAGCCGGCCATGCGGTGGCGCCACCAGCCCGAGCCGTTGCCACGGCAACTCGTGCCGCCGGCGTTCCCGGCAGCGCTGCCCTACCTGCAGCCGTGCGCCACCTCACAGGCGCCGTCGCCGTCAGAGCAACAGCAGCAGCAGTGCCACCTGATGGGCGTGCTGGAGGCGGCGCCGCCGCAGCCGCGCAAGGCGGCGCGACGCGGCTGGGGTCGCAAGCGCGTGACGACGCACACGTGCGCGTACCCGGGCTGCGTGAAGACGTACACGAAGAGCTCGCACCTGAAGGCACACCTGCGCACGCACACGGGCGAGAAGCCGTACTGCTGCGGCTGGAAGGGATGCGGCTGGAAGTTCGCGCGCTCCGACGAGCTGACGCGACATTACCGCAAACATACGGGCGACCGGCCGTTCCAGTGCCAGCTGTGCGAGCGCGCCTTCTCGCGCTCCGACCACCTCTCGCTGCACATGAAGCGACACGTGACCGTGTGAGGACAGAGGGCGCCACCAGCGCTGCTCGGACACGGTCGGCGTCGCCGGCGTCGCCGATCGTCGCGGTCCGGTGTAATTTTTAACCCCGTGTAAGTATCGCGTGATAGTCGGTTGCATGTAGTTTCCCCTGCATTCTCCTCGAGTGCAAGTGGGAGAGAAAAGTTATTATCGTTGATTTTTAGAGTTTACCGATGCAACTTATTTAGATTTATCGTTATTCTTTTGTTTTTATTCGTACCTGACGCACGCGGTCTTGGTAGAGTTAGCTTGGCAATAGCTTGTTTTAGCAGTAGCCTAGGAGGCATCTGGCATGCCTCTGTTAGAGCGAGAGAGAGAGATTCTTAATTTTGAGTAAGCTTTATGACGTTTGTTCGTCACTGCATGACGTATGTAGAGAGATATAAAGAGACAGGGGGGTCACTGGTGACCCTGGCAGGCAAAAGTAAACAATTCACTCGCGTTTCTACCAGCTCGCGTGTGTCAGTAAACTTTGTTGCGTGTAACGAAATCTACACCGACCGCCATGAGTCACCATTGCTAGCGGACATGCCCACAGAACTGGTATTGGGCATGGGTGTAATGCGTAGGATGGAACAGCCTGCTTCTGCGTAAGCTAGTGCTACTGCGCCGGGGTGCAGCGCACAAGAACGAACGGCGTGCTGGCGCGATAAATGAGCCTGTGAGATTTCTGACGCGAGTAAATCCGCGAGTTTCCGCTGCTGATACGCAGCAGCGGCCGTTACGTGGTCTTCCTGGCGTGACACAGTGATTATTCCACATATATCCCGGTTACAGGGAGAGACCCCCGTGTCGAATCTGGTGATATACCTTACGGTATCCAGCGACCGAACCAAGTAGCTCACGATTTTTTACGGATGTTTTCGAAATGATTACGGTCATGTGATATATAACACGGCAAGTCTGCTAGAATGTTTCTGGTGACGTTCAAAGCGTTTCGCTCGAGCGTCGAAGGTCGTTCGTGCACTAGTGCTGCCATCTATTGAGCTGCTTGCGCGTCGTTTGAACTCAAGAGGTGCTATTGAATACGCGTGGCCTGCTGGTGATGGCACGGGCGTTAGATCTGCGGATTATTAGTCAGTTGTTGGGAAGAGAGACTCGGTGTGCCACGTTGAACGTGATGTCCCATATATAGTGTACAAAATTAGAATGCGTGAAGCGTATACTGTGTATATGCCAGAGAAAAAGAATTGTTATCGTTGTTAGCCATTTACTATTATACTGTTGCTGTTTATATAGTGATGTATACTGATGTTTTGAGATATTCTCATCCAAGTAGGTATATATTTACCGCGTTGTAAGTGAACTACGCCAAGTTTTTGTAAGATAACGTCAATGTATATATTTTATATGAAGTGTTGAGAATTACCGAATACATTTGATACTTTTGCGCGAAAACATCTGCTCTTGATTGTCATCCATTCACATTCACACGACGCAACTCACAGATTGAATACGTACCGCTCACACACACGCTAGTTACTCACGATAATACAGATCCCACAGTTTCACATTTACCCCCTCTTTCCTCCTTTATAATTATATTCTCTTCCATCTCTTCTTCGTTCACTCCTTAGACCTTCCTCACATTCACACCCTCTTTCTCATTCATCTCACCTTCCCAAACCCTGTCATCTTCCCACGCTATCCTAAGAGATCCCTTTACTAATTCTATCGTAGTATACACATAGTGGTCACTGAATGGGAAATCTTTTTGAGTATTTTTTACCAACGCACTCGCGACGAATTTTGGCTTATTCGAGTGATATTAGACCAAAATAATGAAATATTCCGCCGATAGATGGCAGCACATTTCTGAGAGAAACTACGCCAGTAAAGCTCAGCAGTAAAGGAGTACCAGATCTTGCAACAAATTATTTTATGGGATCACATTATTTGCCTTGTTAATACAAAACGGGCAGACATAAACACTATGCCCCATAACATAGCGTAAACATTAAAAGGGGAATTATGTGTTAGCGAGGTATGGGTTCATCACACTGGCACTTTTTCTGAACACTTCTCAAGAGAAGATGAAAACACAGACTACACAGATTGTTCAATATTAGGTTTATTGTTTTAATATGATCTTGATTGTGACAACAAAATTCACTTCATGTCATTACTTTGGTTATATAATCTTTTATACTACCTCTTTCTATATAATACAATTACAATGAATGTGCTAGCGTAGTCTAACAAACTGATGATATTCCTGCAATTACATGACAGAGAAAAGACAGAATATATATATATATATATATATATATATATATATATATAATTATATAGGCTCTTAGTTTATCGGATGGCTTTGTGAGAAAATGGCGTCGTGTGGTGTGGTAAGGTAGGGTATAGGGTATGGAATTTCTGGCTTATACTTGCGACCTAGCATATGATAAAACAATCTGAAGAGCTGAGAGATACTGATGATGAACCCAAAATCTTCTGCCGAGTTATATTGTTCTCATCGTACGATACTCGTATCGTATGTATATTTACATTTATATGTATGTATACGTACACGCGTACGCATATATATGTATATATAAATACCATCACATTTGAGGGCTGACGGCCGCTGACCTTTCTGAGGTTAATTTTTGCAAGCATAACAATGATGTCAACCACAACGGCAACACACTGCATAGCTTCAGTCACTTCCATCAACTGATAACAACGCTTGAAAAAAAAGATCACCATTGCCATCTTCTTCATCATCATCATCATCATCATCATCATCTTCTTCATCATCATCATCATCATCATCATCATCATCATCACCATTAGGCTTGACATCAAAAATATTTTTCCTAGCTTTAACACACGATGGCGCTCACAATTTTCCTGCAGTGACGACAAGAGGACAGCTGTCAGCTGCGTCGCTACCGCAGCCTCTCTCCGAACAAATCAAGAGCCAGGATGCAGCGCTTCACAAACCACTGTCTGACCATAAACTATGCAGATATCTATACCCCTATATCATTAGATACCTACGAGCCTTGCGACTCGACAGAAACCTTACGAAGCTTCCCCGTCTGATATACTAAACATAGGAAATCTCTGCACCATAATGTTGGCAGCTGTATGACCTGACTGATAATCACTCACTGTAGAGTTATATGTCCACCGCACTGGCGCCGATCCACGTTACTGTAGTGTACTGCACGACACGTGAACAATATAGACAGATAGCTACGTATCGTCATCGACGGACAGTTATAAAAAGTTGGAGCAACGATGACCTCGTGAGGAGATATCAGTGGAAGATCCACTACAAGGGACGCGGCGGCCATACAGACTGACCGCCGGTCGATCTTACGGGAAGACCGTGAAAAGCGCGACATCCCGACGTGAATAACGGCGGGTGACGACGTAGGATGGAAGAGCTCGAGCGTGCCAGGCATCGACAATGGCAGAGGGTGGCGGCGGAAAAGGGAAGAACCTACGGCGTGAACAAACACGAATGAATACATTATGAGACAGCGATTCCTGAGGTTCACGTATACAACCAAGTAACCATGGCGACCGAGCTCACATTCTAACACACGACGAAACGTGAGCAGTGGCGCCACCACGTGCGTGATAACACAGCCACGAATAATAACACAACCACATCGATAATCCGTACGTGAGAACACGCATGTGACAACACAACTATAACAATAACGTGTCTGTGATAACACAACCAAACAGATTGCACGTGTGTGATAACACAACCACAACGGTGACCCGTACATGATAACACGTGCGTGAGAACACAACCAAAAAAGATAATGTTAACCATAATGTTAACGTGCGCGCATTTGATTAAACAACCGTAATGTTATATTGTGTTATAACAACCACACCGTTAACGTGTGTATGATAACACAAACACAGTGATAACGTGTGCGTGTGATAACACAAACACAATGATAACGTGCGCGTGTGATGACACAAATTCACAATGATAACGTGTGCGTGTGATAACACAACCACAATACTACAATGAGCGAGGTGATCATAACCAGTGCATAATATATAAGAGCCCGTCACGCACGCACGCACGCACACACAATGTCGTTGGTCACATGGCTTCACGCTTCCAAGATGGTCACACAAAACTCACTTCGCCCTGCTATCAATCGATTACTGAACACAGCTGTAAGCTATCAACGCTCATTCTCGCCCACACACTCATACATACCAACTCGCATCTCGTCCCCTCAAAAGACACACAATGAAATTTGTCACTCAACATTACACCCAAGGCATTCGTGCATGATTATCACAGGAGGGTCTTGATGGGGTGTAACGTGTATATTTTACATCGTTAGCATGAATTTTTCGTGATTAATCGTCTTATATAAATTAACGGCATTAGAGAAATTTTATTCATTCATTACCGTCAAATTCAGGTTCATCTCGATTATGAAGCGGAATTACGCCCCGCGGACTTCGTCTTTAGTAGTTAAACTAACAAAAGAGTAATGCCACGACTGAAAAGATTTACAGGCAGCTGAGAAAATGTCCAAATATTTGCTGCTGATTTTGGGGGTATTACACCAGAACACTCCATTAGGTCATCGCACGACATAAGACCTCCGACCGCCAGTTCTTCGATCTATTATCCCCGCCACACACGCACGCACGCACACACGCACGCACGCACGCACGCACGCACACACGCACGCACGCACGCACGCACACACACACACACACACACACACACACACAGCACCGATGGCTACAGGTAGTCAAGTTCAGCCAATTCCAGCAGCCGGCTCTCTCGCCACGTGACACGCACGACCAATAAACACCTGAAGGTTACGATACGAACAGCACAATTGCACAGAGCTGATTTGGGTAACTAGCATTTAAGTATACGGTGACACTGGTTTACGTAACTATATCTCTACCGCCTAGTGAGTTTTGTATAACATATGATTCTAGACACAAAACTAATTTCTAGCCATAATGATATTAATATCATACACCACTTTAATACTTAAATACAGTAAAATATACTTTTAAAATATATTATAGTCCCAGTGATTTAAATTTTCTCACATAAATGCCAAAATATAACGATCATCATTAATTTGGCACAAGTTGATATATAACTTGATAGTACAATATACATCTGCTTTCGTATAATACTGACTACATGTGTATCACACATGTATATGTATAATTATCCTTCCAAATCATATAGTTCATAATAAAATAAAGATAGAATATAGTTACTGATACACAGACTTTTCAATAATATAACACTATAATAATAATTTGAATATTGCAAATTGAAACTCAAAGGAAATAACAGAACCCACCTCGGTAGATACTATTATTTTATAGGTACATACTACTATTAATCGTAAAAGAGACACATTTGGTTGATACTTCCAAATAGTATTCAGTTTTCTTGATTAAAGGATGCTTACAGAACCAAATTATCCATCAATCACTCAATTATTCATAGTCGCAAAAAATAAGTTTGTTTGATGATTCCAAATAGTATTGAGTTTTCTCAATCAGTGTACGATGCTTCACAAACCAAATAATCAATCACTCAGTGAATCAATCCTCATCACTTCTAAATGAACTCGATGTGTGCATCTAGGTTGCCATGATAGCTGCTGCTCAGCACAGTGCGCAAGGCTCTCGTAAAAAAAACTACACACCCGCTAGCGTTCTCTCTAACACACCTACCTTCGCAGGCAAGCACAACCAGGTCATGGGGGCAATCGCCATTCGAAAGCAACACGCGCCGCCAAACCGGCCATCGGCGTGTCATCGAAAAACAACAGAGCAGTCATCGCACGTGAACAGCACCAGACACGAATCAGTATTTACAGAGCTGCCCTGAACGTGTGCGACACTGAGGTATATGCGACACGCGCCGCCGCGACGGCATGTCGGCTGAAGGGGGCGCCACTGTTAGGAAGAGGGCGCCACGTGTTACCGCAGTATACTGGGAGAGATCAGTTCGAGTGACAACTATAGTATCCTCGATCGTGATCAGCTTTATTAAACTGCCATTAATAGTTATTAAATACTCAAAGAGGAATAAGAAATCATCAATAAAATGTTAATCGTTAATAATTATTGAAATTTAATCGTTAACTTAATTACAGAAATCGTGCTGCCATATCCGAGTTCCGACATCACGACCGCAGGCCATTGTTTTACGCATCTCAACGGCCGCGAGGGTCGTCAGACACGTGGCGCCACCTGTCAGCCACACACGCCGGGCGGGGACCATGTTAAACAACAGCAAACTCGACAGCCTTGGAACCAGTCAGCACAATACGGCCGTCTGCGCTCGCGCGCCCCGGGCCGCCGCCGCCGGGGGTTGTCCGACGGGCGACCGGTCGTCCCGGCATGTACGGTTAGTTACCGCTGCACGGTCGGGAGGTCGGTCTCACCTCCCACCCCCCCTGCTGGGCGGCTCGGGGCGCGCTCGCGCCCGCACACATACAGAAGCTACAAATGTCTACGGCTGTTATCTAGAAACAAAAATGGTGACGCACCGTGCAAATCGACAGTCCTCGGCGAAGGCGAGCCGCACACGGCAGCGCCACACAGTGGAGAAATAGAGACGCAGTGACAGCGATGCAGGAACGCGTGGTTAGACGAACAGCTAGCAACGACAGAGACACCTAGAGAGAACGCAGGGAAACACGGCGTTAGCACCCACTCCCTGCACAACCGCTACTCCACAGCTCCATAGAAAAATAAATGAAACTCACTGCACACACACGCACGCGCACGCGCGCAAACACATGTAAACACACGAGACCACGTGACAGCGGGACGAACACTCGGGATTGCGCACCCGACCACGTGACACTGTACAATGCGAGACTCAGAGACACCGGATTACACGAGACTGTGTTCACACGAGATGCAGGTGGCGCCATGTGACACCGAACCACGTAAAACTGTGGCACCGGACCATGTGACACCGTGTGACACTAAGCCACATTAGCCTGTATGACACCAGACAACGTGAGACCGTGTGGCACTGAGCCACATTAGCCTGTATGACACCAGACCATGTGACACCATGTGACACTGAACCACACTAGGCTGTATGACACTAGACCAAGTGACACCATGTGACACTGGAGCACGCACGATCGTGCAATCTCGCGTCACACCAGCCCACTGACACAGGACCATGCAGCATCGTGTGATAGCAGGCCACGTAAGATAATGTGACACGTCCAACACGCTGCGTCACACAATCCTACACGAGGTGCAGAGCCAGACTGTGACACTGACACACCCGTCGTACCGTGTGACGCCGAGACCGTGTGACATCGCGTGTGACATCACGTGTGACACAGATCGTCGTGTGAATCCGCGTGCTACTCAATCACGTGTGACAGCAGAACACGACAGACAAACGCAAAAGGTTGCAAACGGACGGCAAGACAGAAATAAGTCAGAACAGTCAAACTCAATGACAAGCACGCCTATACTCTAATCGTGACCAGACAAGCCTCCTAACCACCCAGGTAACAACAACGTGATGGTGTGCGTGCACACACTAACAGACACCACCACAATGGTCCGAGAATTACTCGTGTATATACATATATATACATACATATGTACACAAATATATATATATATATACATATATATGTATATACATGTACACAAATGTGTGCGTAAAAGGCATAGGTGATTTCATGCGTGTTGATTTGCATCACATTACTGACTGATGTTTGTTTACCTGGCCGGTATTAACAGGATCAAATGGCAGCTGCTAACCTATGACACATACATCAGTTCTTCTTACTTAATTTACATTCGACCAGCATTGGTGCCAATTATAGGTAGCAACAGCAGCATTTTGGAAACAACCGAATGGTCACTTCTACTCAATATTTACAATATCGCCTGCTTTATACTGTGATCTCTGGTGTGTGTGTGTGAATATAATTTTTACCAACTTTATTAAACTCATCAGAAGTTTGTTCGTGTTGTTGAGATCAAATAAATGCCATAATAGTCAAAATATAGTTAAACTCAGACAATGCACAGACGTTTTGCGATATTAATACCATTACGAATGTCCATGTGCTTTGCACATTAGAATGACACTGTACCTATAATCACAACTGTAACCGCAATCATAACTGTGATGTGCAAGACTGCTGGCTTCATTATACATCATAAGATAAGCAGCAATGATATTCACAGATTTCAGCAATAATTGAGACAAACTTACCTGTATATTCTCTTAATTTCTAGTATCTACTAAACTTACCTGCCATTTTGCTTGGTTACAGAAGACCTACAATTCGTCTGCTGTTCATTGTTTTTCTCGTTTAACATAACTAACTTGTTAATTGACTCATTTACCTTTCTAACCACTCCAACTCATCAGCCTGCTAAACATGCATTACACAGATTCACCCTGGTAACAATTTCAGATCTAGTAACCTTTCGATACTTTTATCCTGTTAATCATTCCACATAATTAATATTTCCAAGATTCTTCACAATCAAAGTGTTAACCATTCTATATAGTTAACAATTTAATCATATAAGACAATTACTCGATTAGGGGCATTCCATACAGTTACCAAAAGTTAACTACAAGGTTACTTTATTAAAAATTCTAGACAATTAACCTATTAACCATTCCACACAGTTAATATGCTAACCATTCCATGAAATTAACATGTTAAATATTCCACACAGTTAATATGCTAACCATTCCATGAAATTAACATGTTAACTATTCCACACAGTTAATATGCTAACCATTCCATGAAATTAACATGTTAACTATTCCACACAGTTAATATGCTAACCATTCCATGAAATTAACATGTTAACTATTCCACACAGTTAATATGCTAACCATTCCATAAAATTAACATGTTAACTACTCCACACAGTTAATATGTCAACCATTCAATGAAATTAACGTGTTAACCATTCCACACAATTAACCCATTAACCATTCCATGGAGTTAATATGTTATTTGTTCGATGAAATTAACGTGTCAACCATTCCTACCTGTAAGTTACCAACCTGCTATCCATGCAATCAGAATTAGTTAATAGGGAAGGAGTGTGACTTCAATAAACAAGGGAAATTCGTCATTTACTAGCTTTAGAATACCTACGATTTACTACGCGTAACTCAAACAACTTAAGCTCAAATCGTACACAGTACATTCGCCTAGCATCGTGCGAAATCGTTTCCTCGTATACACCCGCAATCCGGAGATACAGACTAAAACGTACGACACGATTCTCTATTCTGTTGCCAGCAAACCAAATGTATAACCCGCCTAACTAGAAACAAAAGGCAGCTACTAACGACTCTTGCGCACTCTTGTGCCCTCGGCGATGCAGTGTGGCTCGCTGGGAGATTGGACATCGACGCAACACTCGGCGAGCTAATCTTTGACCTATTTACAGCTGGTATGCCCACCACGCACGCACGCCCACAGCAATCAGCAGCAGCTCCAGCTCCAATCTCCCAGCGAACCACACCGCATCGCCGAGGGCACAAGAGTGCGCAAGAGTCGTTAGTAGCTGCCTTTTGTTTCAAGTTAGGCGGGTTATACATTCGGTTTGCTGGGAACAGAATGGAGAATCGACTCGTACGTTTTAGTCTGTATCTCCGGATTGCGGGTGTATACGAGGAAACGATTTCGCATGATGCTAGGCGAATGTAGTGTGTACGATTTGAGCTCAAGTTGGTTGAGTTACGCGTAGTAAATCGTAGGTATTCTAAAGCTAGTAAATGACGAATTTCCCTTGTTTATTGAAGTAACACTCCTTCCCTATTATCTACTTCTGATGCAATTAACCTGTTAGACGTTCCGCTGTCGCCACAGTTCGCGACGCGACGGACCGCCTGCCCGGGCAGTGACACAGCAACACAACCTACCTGCGACACACTACCGCACAGCTCAGACCTAAACCCTGTTTACATAGGAAAAGAGGTCTGCTGCCGATGGCTCCGGCGTCTGCCCCGGTCCGATGCGGGAAACACAAGGCATCGCACGGCGGAGGCATGGGTTAGATGGAGTGAACTGACGGCGGAATTCTCGTCGTAAACGTCGCACGCGCATCGTCGTCGCCATACTAGTGTTCTTGTCACGCAGTGCTGGGATCGTGTGAGGGTCATGTCAGGTCACAAACAGGTCATGTTGGGTCATATAAAGGTCACGTCCGGTTACGTAAAGGTCACGTTGAATCACATACAGGTCATGTTGGCTCACATACAAGTCACGTCCGGTTACGTAAAGGTCACGTTGAATCACATACAGGTCATGTTGGCTCACATCAAGGTCATATCATTTCACGTAAAAGTCACGGTGGATCACGCAAAGGTGACCTTGGGTCAAACACGGGTCACGCGTCTAGGTCTCACGCAGATAGCACCGTCGAGGCGACACCAGACTCGGGTCGGGGGGAGGGGAGGATTGATAGGAGTGGTCGGGGCAGGGCGGCGCGAGGCTACACCCACCGTTAGTACGGCCGGCTGGCCTCCTTCGAACGCTTCAGCTGCACCTTCAGCCGCTTCATGCCGATCTGGAACCCGTTCATGGACTGGATGGCCGCCTGCGCGGAGACGGGGTTGTCGTAGCTGACGAAGCCTGAAACGACACCGCGTGCTGCCGTCGTTAGTGTGTAGAACTAGAACTGGGGAAGCATCCTCACTCAGCTAAACCACGAGCTGCCATCGCAGCGTGCATAGAACTGGGAAAACATCCTCACTCAGCTAAACCGCATGCTGCCATCGTCAGCATGCGTAGAACTAAGGAAGCATCCTCACTTAGCGACATTGAGGCACTGGCCAGATACACGACACATCTTCACGTTGAGAATCGGTAGAAATTTCATCATCGCACGCCCGTAGCATAAACCGATCGACGATCGAAGAACTAACCGTTGATCAATTACGAAGATACTTTAGTGGATTGGAAAACATGTCGGATTCAAGGTTTAGCATTTAATATTTGACGGATGATGCAAACAATTGGAAATCGATTTAAAAAGTAAATAAGAAACAATTAACAAAGCTCTCCCTTCACAACTGATTGCAATTCGTGTTCGCCTCATTCAGAAGAATTGCGCATTTCACGGTGCCATGCAGCATCGCTCGATGGGCGAGACAACCAAGTAATACTTAACTATAAAATTTAAAACTGGATAAATCAACTTGGAAGACTCAACGAGTAATGCTCAATGAACTCGATCAATCGGAATGAACAAGATAGTTAGATATCGTAGCGACGACATGCTAAAGTGCAATCTGAATAATCAGGAGTCTTGTTCCTAAACGATACGCGAGTCACCGAAGACGTTCTAAGAGAGTATGATTGCAGGGCCTTGTTTACTCCAGCTAAGGATTGTCACTACGGCAACCAGAAAATCCTGCCGACGCCGCGTCAGGGGAGCGACGCAGACGACTGATGCACGCACCGAAACACTTGCTGAGGTTCGTCTGCTTGTCAACAAACACCTTGGCCGAGAGGACAACGCCGAAGGGCAGGAAGGTCTGACACAGATCCTGGTCGGTGAACTCCTGTGGGAGGTGGTAGATGAACAGATTTGCTCCCTCCGGACCTGTGTTAAAGACACAAATGAAGGCCGAATAAAAAAGGAGAAGAGGTGGTAGGTGGGAGGCAGTAGACGAATAGGCCGGCTCCTTCCATGTGCATAAAATAATAATGTTCAAAAGATACACAGCCGCGCTGTACGGCGTTCAAGTTAAAGTGAGAGAGAGAGAGAGAGAGACAGAGAGAGAAAAGATGGAGGGTGGAAGAGAAATAGAGAACAATAAAGAAAAGGGAGAGCAAGACAGAAAGACAGCGAGAGAGAAAGGGACCCAGATAGGGAAAGAGAAAGAGAGAGAGAGAGGGAGGAGGAGAGGGAGAGTGAGAGGGAGAGAGAGACCAAAAGAAGAGAGAGTGGGAGAGAGAGAGACAGAGAGAGAAAAGATGGAGAGAGAGAGAGAGAGAGAGAGAGAAGAAGGAGAGACGAGAGAGAGAAGAGAGAGGAGAGACGAGGAGGAGAGATGAGAGACGAGAGAGAGAGAGAAGAGGAGAGAGAGAGAGAGAGAGAGAGCGAGAAAAAGTAAGAGAACGAGAGACAGACCAAGGCAGGGAGAGAGCTGGCAAGAAAGATGTTGGGGGGGGGAGAGAGAGAGGGAGGGGGAGAGGGAGAGGGAGAGTGAGAACCACCAAAAGACCAAAAGAAGAGAGAGTGGGAGAGAGAGAGACAGAGAAATACCTTCACTCTGCTTGCCTGACGCGCTCTGGATCTGCTGCTGCACGTTGGGCTGGGTGAAAGTTGGAAAGCCTGCTGCATATTGCTGCATCCCTGAGTATGCCTGGCTGAGCGCATCCATACCTGAGCCGTTAGTAGTACCTGTCAACACAAGAGACCCTGAAACGCAGCTCAGCGAATAGCGACGCACGCTCGATGCTAGATTTACCTGTGACGAGGAAAGCAATACTTCATTTCGGTTATCATCCGATCAGCTGCATTACTCTGTTATTCAGGTTTCAGGATTTCAGGTGGTTATTCAGACCAGAATCAATTGCCAGTTACTTGCTACAGTATGAGCTTGATTATTTCTTTAAGGGTTTTCACATCACAGTCCGGATATAGCAATAAGACAGTGGCTTCAATATTCTCTCTGAACGTCTTTCTCTGCATGCAGTTATACTAAGCGAAATACTTGTCTATGTATATTGCACTTTATATACATGTACACATGTATGTTTCAGACATATGTATACATATAGGTTTTATACACATTTATATACATGTTTCAGACACATGTGTACATGTATGTTTTGTATACGTGTGTACGTGTACATTTCATATACATGTATACATATGTTTCATACACATGTATACATGTATGTTTCGTATACATGTATACACGTATGTTTTGTATACATGTATACATGTATGCTTCGTATACATGTATACATGTATGTTACATATACATAATATATACCTGTATGTTTTGTGTACATGTATACATGTATGTTTCATATGCATGTATACATAAATACATGTGACAACGTACAAATAAATTTATACATTTATGTTTGATATACATGTATGTTATGTATACATATATACATGTATGTTTTGTATGTGTAAAAATATATATGTCGTATACATTTAAACATGTATGTTTTGTATGCATGTATATATGTATGTTTTGTATGCATGTATACATGTATTTATGTAACACATACTTATACATGCATCTCATAAAAGCACCCCTTGCACTTCCACAACGTAGTAAACGTTCAAGCGCATCCGACATCCCCGCAGCCACGCGTCCCTCACGTGCTGCCACCTGGTGTGCACGTGCAAGCTCTCACCTAGTGCACTGCCGTTCATTGTTCCGACGGGCAGTCCGCTCATCGTGAACAAGCCGGACCCTGTGAGCGCGGCCGTGCCGGACATCGTGCTGGGGCAGGTCGTCGCGCAGCCGAGGCTGCCTGCAGTCGACGATAGAAGAAACAAAAATTAACCCGCGACCCATCGTTAGACTCGGCGGCGCCACCTACGGCACGTGCAGCGGTGGCGGGGGATTCCATGCAGCGGCTTCGGATGCAATGAGGTTCGTTTAACGATTATAAGAACCGTGAAACTGGGGTAATAGTTCGTAGTAGATAGTTGATAGGATATATATATATATATATTTACATATAGAAGACAGAATATACTGTATGCATGCAAACATGGATTTAGTTTAGACATCCATCACCAGTAAACAAGACAGCACAGTGTATATATATCAGATATATATACATATATGGTTAGTTTTACAGCCAATAATTAATGTAATAAATTGGCGAATTACTAGTACAATCACGTATACACGGTATCATAGAACAATGCAAGAAGCATTAACAGAAATTTGCAAGGTCCACGTTGACGGTTGATACATATATATATATATATGATACTTGGAATCTGTTAGAAGCTACCAGGCATTAACTGAACCAACTATCCAGTAAACATACATACATGTGCAATTTATATAGCCACATAGGATGGGTATTTTGCGTACAACTCGGTAAAATCTTCACAAAGTAGACAGCAGTGACAGAACCCACTAACAAAGACTAAAACAAGCGCAAGTACGCCACAGAACGCCAGCACGACGACACGACTACGACAACAGGCGACTGCTAGCGCGTATATGTAGGCTTACCGGGTATCGAGTGAGCCTTCAGGAATGGCACTGCATGCAACAGAAACAAAAGCGACTTAGTGCTCTCGCTTAAAACCAAGCAATCACTGCCCACTGTCGTCTACTCGTGTTATATCCGCTAAGAAACGCGCATGCAGCGACGCCATTAACGATATTGTCCCTCCTAACTAACCTACATCAGCTAGCATTGCTGACTGTGCAAATAGTCAACTATTACACAGAAAAGGGAAATGGAAAAGATGGCCTTTGCATAAGTTCTATGGATATTACCAAGAGCTATTACACAGAGAATAAAATGGAAGGGATGATCTTTTTCTGGAATGCTACAAGGCCATTTACACGGAAAATTAAATTGGAAAGGATTCTTTCTTTCAGAATGTTCTATGGATATTACTCAGAAAATGACACAACATTTTCACACACTTCACCAAGGATATTTACACGGAAAATGTACTGGAAAGGAGTATTTCTTTCAGAATGATCCAAGGATATTATACGGAAGATAATTTAACGGAATGGATTAATTCTTCCAGAATGTTCCAAACTGTGGGAACCTGCCACAGGATAGATACGTGGCAGACGTCTGTAACCATCGAGGAATGTAAACACCCCGCCTCCCAAAAAGCTACAGCACTACAGCTATAAGCAGGAATGTGGAAATGCCATTAGCGATATGTAATGCGAAGTGTAAATTTCTACAGCTGCAAGAAAGACCACACACATTTACATTAGAGGAACACATACAAGCACGAACGTAAGCTCACGCACGCACACGCACGCACATGTATTCAGACGCATATAAGCTACACGGTCAGGGAGGAACAAGACACCAAATGCATAGCACTATTCGATTGTAGACGTAGATTGTTATTCGACATGTATATCCATCAAGATATCATCCATGCCATCTCGTAGACAGGCGAAAAAAATGCTAAAAAAGAAGAATATTACTAGTAGCACTGTTCTAGTTCCTAGAAAAAAAGTCAAAACGTAACGTAAACAAAACAAAGCAGGCAACAAAACTTCCAAAACCACGTAAGTAAGAAGCACCTCTACTGAGAGTGAGATGTGCCGCTACTGAGTGCAGCTGAGAGAGGAACCGTGCAGAAATGCCGCCAACTTAACGTCTGCACAGTTCGCCAACGGTTACATGGTTACTTAACGAAATCATATGGAAGTGCTAGTAGCAATACTACGCTACACCTACCACACCGCAAGAGGAACACATATGCACACGCACGCACACGCAAGCACACGCAAGCACGCACGCACGCACGCAAGCACGCAAGCACGCACGCACGCACGTGAATTTAGTCGTATCGTCGTCGTTACTGTCACCGTCGTCACTTTAATTATCATTTTTATCAATAACGTCGTTAATATCATTGTCGGCTTTGTCTTCACCATCATCATCTACATCGTCATCGTCACCATCGCCATCGCCGTCACTGTCATGATCAGCATCAACACATCTTTCTAGAAAGCTAAGCTCGTACGTTTGCATGCATTGTCGGCACACATGTACTCGTGTCGGCGTGGCGGGCCGGGCAGCTATGCATTGTTAGGCGATTCTAGATGGTGTGAGAGTTGAAACTACGGCAGCGGCATGAGCGGCTGAGCTATCCAAAGCGAACAGATATACCTGCAGTGGTGTAGCCGTCCCTCCAGTCGGGCCCTGCACTGGCTAAACTGGTGCCTCCATCTGGTGGGTACAAGTACACTCAGTCAGGCACTCACACATTCACGTCAAAACGCCGGCTTCGATTCGCATGCATGATACACGAGAGAACTATCGGTCCACCTCCGAGAATCAATCTCCGCGCCCACCCCTGTACGGTCACTCGAGATACGGCCAACTCACTCCTTCTGCGTCTCCTTTCTCATTCACTCTCGCTCTCTCCCCCTCTCTTTCCTTCTCACTCTCACCTCTCTCTCCTTCTCTCTCTCTCTTTCCCTCTCTCACTCTTTCTCAGTCTATAGTTCTTTCCCTCTCTCACTCTTTCTCAGTCTATAGTTCTTGCTCTCTCTCTCTCTCTCTCCCTCCAAACACCGCATATTTCTCGCGCACGGCAAACAAGTTTCGTTGACACAACACCAGCGAGAAGGAACCGGTATGGCGGCGGCTGCAGCGGTGGCGCCCCCTGGCTGTACACCCACCGCGGCAGAGTGCGCGACCCCCCACTCGCTGAGTGGAGACTAACCACGCGCGCGTATTAAGCAAAGGAGAACACCTCGTCGCCCCGGAAACCTGACCGAAGCTCACGGACAGACGCAGGGTTTCCACGGTGACGGCTCGTGCAGAAACAATCGGTTGCACGCACACACGCACGCACGCACAGAATCACGCAAGCTCACTCCGCATAGGTGAATGGGCGATTGTGCTGATACAAAGCTAGTAAGGAGCTTATCTTACTTTACAAGTAAGATGAGCACAGTAAGTAACACACGTGGGTGTAAACGTACGCAGATGCGTCCGGATTAACTCTAGAGATCAACACACGGGTGAAAGGTGGTGACGAGCCTCTGTGAACGGGTGATACTCCATTAGGAGTGTTCCCAACTTTAATGTCATTAATGGTTAGGGTTATGTTATAGGTTAGGTTAGGGTTAGGGTTAGGATTATCAATCATTAATCATTAATCATTAATCATTAATCATTAATCATTAATCATTAATCATTAATCATTAATCATTAATCATTAATCATTAATCATTAATGATATAAAAGTTGGGAACACTCCTAATGGAGCGCTAGCCCCGTGACCGTTCGCATACAGGAACGAAAGCATACAGCAACATCATGAACATATCCACACAACATAGATATTTATAGAAAAATCATATCGATTGCGTAGATATTTTTCCGTAGCGAGACACACACATATATATACGGCTAGGTAGCAGCCGTGCATCCATCCATCCACATAGCGCGCGGGCACAGGTTTTCCCATTAGAAAGTGGAGTTACGTGCACGGTTACGTTTACGAAGGAAGCAGAGGTCGGGAAGTCACGGTGCTGATTTCAACTCTCATTCATCAGTGAGTGAGTGACACACCAGCAGCACCGCGCGCAGTCATTACAACAGCACGGCGGCAAAACAACGTTAGCTCTAACCCGCAAGTCTAGTCGATACGTCATGATCGGATTACAAACCCCCGCGCCGTCATCGTACACGAAAAGCTCGGCTTTATCTCCCCCCCCCCCTCTCTCTTGCTCGCTCTCGCTCTTACGTAAAACCAAGATCTCCTATTACGTACAGACGCCAGCCACGAACATATCATATATCTCCAACGTGCGTGCATACAGAGTAATGCGAGTAATACCAGACGAGCATAACTACGTGTACTACGGCTCCGAATATAGCAAAGCACAGACATTGAAGACATAGAATAACATGCCCACACAAGCGGGAGTGAATAAAAACAACATAATACAACAAACAACAACATTAAATCAACAACGAACACAACAACAACAAATAACAACATTAAATCAACAACGAACACAACAACAACAAACAACAACATTAAATCAACAACGAACACAACAACAACAACAACAACAACAACAACAACAACAACAACAAAGACATGAAACAACCAAACAAAGAAAATGGAAAGAATAAAAAACAAATTCCCTTTTCTTCACTCCCGATACTAGGTATAGATATGTTCGTTCTACGGCGTATACAATCAAACCTTTATACATTAGCGGTCACCTCCATAAAACGGACACCTGTCTATAACAGACACCATCAGCAATGCTTTTAGAGACAGTTACTTAGTGAAACCACCACTATAGAACGAAGAGCATGGAAGGACGACCATTGCAGCTCCCCTTGGGCGACGCAGGTGTGACCGTATGCACCTATTAATCGCTACTAGGTCTACTGAAAGGCCATCGAAGGAGGAAGCGAGCGAGCGTTAGCGTTGCTGTAGAGGATGTGCCCGTCCCGCGCTACCATTAGCGTGCGAACACGATACAGGTTATATTACATGCAATGTTAATCAGTCACCTAATGCGCTGCCAGCACCGTTTCCCCTGGAGACGCACGCACGCACGCACAGACACAGCTACACACACAGACAGACACATACGCTAACAGCCAGACAGGTATAAAAATACGCAGCCGCGTAGGTGAAGCTGGAGCATTAACTGCTGCAGCAGAGGAAGGAAGGAGGCTGAAAGGCCAGCACGAAGAGGAAGAGCAAAGACAAGCGTAATTAGCACGGTGGGAGACCTCGATACAGTACATCCGCGCTGCTTGTAATGTTTGCGCTACGGACGTTACTAAGCCAACTTACGACACGAGTGTTATGTAGAAGAGGTTGAGATATTAGTGCAACATCATCACGGGTGGCACATTAGTGCTACATAAGCACTCTGCATCACAGGCTGGTGCACTAGTAACTACAGAGGGTTGGTACACCACACAGCATCACAGGCTGGTACACTAGTACTAGAGGGTTGGTACACCACACAGCATCACAGGCTGGGATACTATCACTACAGAAGTACTAGTGTAAACCAGTCTGTGATGCGAGTACGTTACGGTGTGCCAACCCTCGTAGTACTAGTGTACCATGTGCTGTATGTCAGTACTAGATGTGCCAACCCTCGTAGCACTAGTGGTGTACCAGGTCTGTGTATGGCAGTGTTGTGTGTTACCAACCGCTCTGTAGTACTATACTCTAGTATACCAGCCTGTGATGTAGTTACTAGTGTGCCAAACCCTCTGTAGTACTTAGTGCTACCGTCCTGTGATGCAGTGACTAGTGTGGCCAAGCCCTCTGTAGTACTAGTTGTACCAGTCTGTGATGCCAGTAACTAGTGCGCAACCTCTGTAGTAGCTAGTGTACCAGGTCTGTGATGCTGTGTGGTGTACGCCAAACGTCTTGTAGTGATAGGTAATACCGCCTGTGATTGCGTCGTGTGGTGTGAGCCAACCCTCTGTAGTTACTAATGTATCAATCTGCTATGATGCCAGTATAGTGCTTACAAAGCCCTGCTGTAGTACTTGTAACGCTTGAATTAAAGTTTCGATGTTGTCAAATAAGAAGGAACCCAAACTTGTGTATTAAATTTAAAGCTGAATTAACTTTAATGATCTGCCACACAGTGTATAGTTACATCTTGCAACAGAGATAATGGCGCATCTCCTGTCTTTCACCCGCGTCTCTCTAAATCTCTTCTATATATTACCCCAAAAAAAAAAACGCCCTACATCTTGGCGCACATGTCACCCATTCTCCCACAACGGCGTCCTACTCCATTTCACAATGACCGTAGTGAAATGCCCGACCTGAAAACACGTTTACCATGTCTTGCCAATATAACATCAATGTAGCCCGCACAAGAGTGCGCGACGCTCTGTCTACATAGACTACACTAAACACAACCGGAGTTCTAGCCGCTACTCCGCGACTCGAACTAATTTATGTAACATCTGTAAATCATATGTTACAGTACTAGTATACCAGTCTATGATGCTCTGTATTGTACCACTACCAACCTTCTGTAGTACTAGTGCACCATGCCCTATTGATGCTGTGTTTTGGTGCTACCCAAACCCTCTGTAGTACTAGTGCCACGCAGTCGCTGTCGATGCCTGTGCTGGTGGTACCAACCCTCTGTAGTTACTAGTATACCAGCACCTGTGATGCGTGTGGCTGTATACCAACGCCTACTGTGAGTACTAGCCTATACCAGTCTGGCATGCAGTGTGGTGTACTAACCCTCTGTAGCACTAGTGTACCAGTCCGTGATGCAGGTGTGGTGCTACCAACCCTCTGTAGCACTACGTATTACCAGCCGCTGTGACTGCTGTGTGGTGCTAGCGCAACCTCTGTAGTTTACTAGTGCACCAGCCTGTGAGCTGCCAGAGTGCTTATGCTAGCACGTAATGTGCCAACCCGTGATGAATGTCGCACTAATATCTCAAACCTCTATCTACATAACACTCGCTGTTCGTAAGTTGCGCCTTTAGTAAGTCCCGTAGCGCAAAACATTACATAGCAGCGCTGGACTGTACTGTTATCGGAGATCTCCCACCGTGCCTAATTACGCTCTGTGCTTTGCTCTTCCTACTTCGTCGCGCTGGCCTTTCAGCCTCCTTCCATTCCTCTGCTGCCAGCAGTTAATGCACAGCTTCACCTACGCGGCTGCGTATTTTATACCTGCTCTGGCCTGTTTAGCGTATGTGCTCTTTGATCTGTGTGTGTAGCTTGTGTCTGTGCGGTCGTTGCGTCTCAGGGGAAACGGTGCTGGCTCAGTCGCATTAGGTGACTGAGTTAAACATTGCATGTAAATATAACTGTAGTACGTGTTCGCCGCTACATGTAGCGCGGGCGGCACATCGCTCTATAGCAACGCTAACGCTGCGCCGTCGCTTTCCACCTCCTTCGATGGCCTCTTTCCAGTAGACCTAGTACGATTAATAGGTGCATACGGTCCCACACCTGCGCTCGCCCAAAAAAAAGGGAGCTGACAATGGTCGTCCTTCCCCATGGCCTGCTTCTTCATCACGTGGGGCTTTCACCATCGCGCTCACGTCCTCTAAAAGCATTGCTGAGATGGTGTCTGCTTTATAGACAGGTGCCCGTCCTTTATGGAGGTGACCCCGCTAATGTCATAAAGGTCTTGATTGTATACCCGCCCATCGCTACGAACGAACATCCATCACTATACCGTAGTATGCGAGGA